ATTAAATTAAATAAATATATTAATTAAACATATATAATACAAAAACGGTTTCAGAGGGAAGAAAATGAAAAAGAAAAAAAAAAAAAGTGAAATCCGTTTTTTAGAAAACAGAAAACGAAAACAAGAAAATGAAAACACCTTTTTTTCGTTTTCTGATTTCCACAAAAAGACAAAAACGTTTTTGGTTTTGTTTTTTAAAAAAAATTGCACCAAACACGTTTTTAACACCCGTTTTCATTTTTTTGCTTTGAAAACCGTGAAAAACGAAAACGAAAACGCAAACAAACGGGCCCATAGTGTCAGAGTAAGTAGTAAACAAAAAAAGAAAAAAGAAAAAAAGGACCAACATAAAAGGAGAAAAAACCTGGTAGAGCAAAAAAAAAAAAAAAAAAAAAACGGTAGCGGCATTGTAGCGATATTGTTGCGAAAGCTGTGTCAAATAGAAAACTATTGTATTAATTTAAATTTAAGGGCATGCTCTTTTGTCTAAAAAATTTAAAAAAAGACAACTCGAGTTTTAATTTTATTTAAATTCACGTTCTTTTAAGTTTCAACTTTATTTAATTTTACTCAATTTTATTCAAGTTAGAACTTTAACTCAAGTTATAACTTAAATTTAACTCAAAAACTACACTCAAATTACACTCCAAAAGAATCACCCCTAAAACTTGTTTTCTTTCTCAAAGCGGTTTCTCATAATTTATAATATATAATATATTTTACCGTTAATCTCCAAGCAAATTTTTTTTTTTCCCGTTACTAAGTGCCCATTTTTTTATTAATTTTGAAACCCTAGAATTTGTTTCTCTCTCTTCCCCCCGTCGGGCTCTCTCTCCCTCTCTGTTCCTTTCGCTCTCTCTCTCTTCCCGTTCCCTTGCATTCTCTATATTCCTCTCACGTTCTCTTCCCCCTCTCCCCCTTCCCTCCCATTCTCTCTTCTCGTTTGCTTTTTCTCTCGTTCCACGAGGACCTCACGGCGGAGAAAGAAGGTCGCTGGCTGCCGATGTTGTCGGCGGTGAGACGGAAAGCACGAGCGAGCCACCACCGTGGGGCGTCGGAAACATTGTGGTTGTTGCTTCTTACCGGCAAAAAAGCCTCGCCGGCGGTCAGATTTAAGAAATTAGGGGTCAGGGCGAGCAGGGGCAACGTAAATGCAGTGTTCTACCCAGAGACGTACCATCCGATCAAAGCAAGAAGCATCGACGGCACCGACTTCATCCCTCACGACAACGCCGTCTATCACGCCTATCTTTGCTCCTCCGTTCCTCTCTATCTTTCGTTTCATTGCCTCTTTTAGTGTGCTCTCTGCTGTTCGTTTTTCTCTTCTTTCACATTTATGATCCAAATTATTTGTCTTTTCTGTGGGTTCATGGTTTCTGAAGCGTTCCTACTCAGCCCTAAAGGTTTGCTTTTGTGTTTTCTCTTCTTATGTTTACTTTTTCTGGTCATCTTGTTTATTCTGGGTATCAATTTAGTTTCTGATTGTATTTACCTTGTTTTGGGAAAAGTATTTGGACAATTCACAATGGGGACAAGTGAGTAGTAGTTTTTGTAAAACTTCTGCAATTTTTGTTGAGGCCCTATCTTTCTTAAGGTGATAACTTACTGGTGCATTTTCGTTGTTACAAGTCAGGGAGTGTACATAACAAGAGGATCTGGCGATCAACTCCATATTTTACTTAGAACTTTACTTGAACGAGGAATTCTTGAGCCATGAAGAGGGAGAGAGATTTTTTGTTTTGGTTTTGTTTTCTTTTTGATTTTTTAATGCTGTGTTCGTCCCAATTCAGTGTCCTCATCGTCATTTTCGTTGTAGGTAAACTTGCCTCCCGTTATTCACCAAGCGATGGAGAGAGAGAAAGGAGAGAAGAAAAGGAAATGTAAAAAGGAGCGAGAGAGTAAAAAAGGCAAATGATACAGGGAAAACATAGAATGAAGAGTAAAAACAAAAACCATCATTTCCTAAGCCATGAAGAGAGAGAAAGAGAGAGAGGAAAAGGTATAAAAGAGTGAGACGAAAATAAGGTAAATGAAGTAGGGAAAAATGTTTATGGCATTTGGATCGAATGGTTCGGGGGCTATGAGAACAGAGAGAAGAAAAGGAAATGTAAAAAGGAGTGAGAGAGGAAAAAAGGAAAATGATATAGGGAAAACAAAGAATGAAGAGTGAAAAGGAAAATCGTCATTTCCTAAGCCATGAAGAGAGAGAAAGAGGGAAAGGAAAGGTAAAAAAGAGAGACGAAAAAATGTAGTGAAAATGGTTTATGGCATTTGGATGGAATGGTTCGGGCTATGAGAAAGTGTTGTTGAGGGAAGAGTTTGCGCTTAGTTAGGCACATTGGTAAATCTTCATTTGCACATTACTTTTTCTTTATTTATTTATTCAGAAATCAAGTAATTTTTTAATTTATAATTTTCTCTATATAACTTGGTAATTTTTTTATGTAATTTCGTGATTTTTTTCCTTCTAGAGAGTGATGGCCATCAGAAATGAAGTTGGATTTTTGGTCTGCTTGATGCCGTTGTCGCTTACGTGTCCCTGATCAGACCAGGGTTTGGATTTCTTGAGAATTTGTTTGGTTTTTCCTATTCTCTCCTTATATTTATGATTTATTATTTTAGGAATTTTTTTTTGTTCATATTTGCATGTCTTGCGAAATTTCCGCTATTGAATCAGTGATGTGGAAATTTTTTTCTTCATTTCTTCCCTTCTTTGCCTCTTTTAGTGTGCTCTCCGCTGTTCGTTTTTCCTATTCTCTTCTTATATTTATGATTTATTATTTTAGGAATTTTTTTTTGTTCATATTTGCATGTCTTGCGAAATTTCCGCTATTGAATCAGTGATGTGGAAATTTTTTTCTTCATTTCTTCCCTTCTTTGCCTCTTTTAGTGTGCTCTCCGCTGTTCGTTTTTCTCTTCTTTCACATTTATGATACAAGGTATTTGTTTTTTCTGCGGGTTCATGGTTTTTGTTGCAGCGTTCTTACTCAGCCCTTAAGGTTTGCTTGTGTGTCTTCTCGTCTTATGTTTACATTTTCTGGTCATCTTCTTTATTCTGGGTGTCAATTTAGTTTTTGATTGTATTTACCCAATTGTTGAATTAGTTATTTTGGGAACAATATTTGGATTTTATTTATTCCAGTCCAAAAATTGAATGCAAATAGCTGTTCTAATTTAATTTACCTTGTTAAATGAATTCATGGTTGTAGAAAAATATTTAGTTTTTTTATTTATTCAATCCCTAATAAACCAATTCAATGCAAACCGATCAACCAATATGCAAATAGCTGTTCTAATTTAATTTACTTTGTTAAATGAATTCATGGTTGTAGAAAAATATTTAGTTTTTTTATTTATTCAATCCCTAATAAACCAATTCAATGCAAACCGATCAACCAATTCATGCTAAACATTCTATCAACCAATTCAATGCAACCGATGTGTCGATGTGAGTTTTATAGTTCTATTTATTTCCTTCTTTCTCTCTGATTTATTTTATTTCGTTGTATTGATGTGTGTTCATTTGTTCTATTAAAACTTGAGTCTGACATTTTCATTGTAGGAAATCCCCGCAGATTGCTTTAAGTACTTGTTATTTTTGTAGCAATGACTTGTTATTTTTGTATATCTAAAGCAATTTGAGTTAATATTTGGTAGGTAAACTATATGAGAACGATTGGGTTTTAAGAGATGGTGTGATCTTTGGAAAGAAATTTTGTGATTTTCTAAGGTTCAAAATTTATGTCTTGTGTTTTACATTAGTTGTGAAATTTGTGAATGAATTTTTGTTGAATTATGTAACTGAGTAGTGAGTAGTAGTTTTTGTAAAACTTATGCAATTTTTGTTGAGGCTCTATCTTTCTTAAGGTGATACTTACTGGTGCATTTCGTTGTTACAGGTCAGGGAGTGAACTTAACAAGAGGATTTGGCGATCAACTCCATATTTTATTTAGAACTTTATTTGAACGAGGAATTCTTAAGCCATGAAGAGGGAGAGAGATTTGTTCTTTTGGTTTTGTTTTCTTTTTGATCTCTTAATGCTGTGTTCGTCCCGATTTAGTGTCCTCATCGTCATTTTGGTTGTAGGTAACCTTTACTCCCATTATTCACCAAGCAATGGAGAGACAGAGAAAGAAAAGGGGGTGGGGGCAGAGAAAAGAAAAGGTAAAAAGGGGTGAAAGAGGAAAAAAGGAAAATGATTTAGGGAAAACAAAGAATGAAGAGTGAAAACAAAAAACCGTCATTTCCTAACCCATGAAGAGAGAGAAAGAAGGAAAGGAAAGGTAAAAAAGGGGTGAAAGAGGAAAAAAGGCAAATGATATAGGGAAAACAAAGAATGAAGAGTGAAAACAAAAAACCGTCATTTCCTAACCCATGAAGAGAGAGAAAGAAGGAAAGGAAAGGTAAAAAATGGGTGAAAGACGAAAAAAGGCAAATAATATATGGAAAACAAAGAATGAAGAGTGAAAACAAAAAACCGTCATTTCCTAACCCATGAAGAGAGAGAAAGAAGGAAAGGAAAGGTAAAAAAGAGAGATGAAAAAAAAGGTAAATGATACAGCGAAAACAAAGAATGAAGAGTGAAAATAAAAAACCGTCATTTCCTAACCCATAAAGAGAGAGAAAGAAGGAAAGGAAAGGTAAAAAAGAGAGATGAAAAAAAAGGTAAATGATATAGCGAAAACAAAGAATGAAGAGTTGAAAACAAAAAACCGTCATTTCCTAACCCATGAAGCGAGAAAGAAGGAAAGGAAAGGTAAAAAAGAGATGAAAAAAAAAAGGTAAATGATATAGCGAAAACAAAGAATGAAGAGTGAAAACAAAAAACCGTCATTTCCTAACCCATAAAGAGAGAGAAAGAAGGAAAGGAAAGGTTAAAGAGAGTGAGATGAAAAAAAAAGGTAAATGAAGTAAGTAGGGAAAAATGTTTATGGCATTTGGACGGAATGATTCGGGCTATGAGAATAGAGAAGAAAAAGGAAAGGTTAAAAGAAAGAATGAAGAGTGAAAACAAAAAACCGTCATTTGAAAGGTAAAAAAAGAGAGACGAAAAAAAAGGTAAATGAAGTAGGGAAACATGTTTATGGCATTTGGATGGAATGATTAGGGCTATGAGAAAGTGTTGTTGAGGGAAGAATTTGCGCTTAGTTAGTCACATTGGTAAATCTTCTTTTTCACAATACTTTTTCTTTATTATTCGAATCGTCGGAAAATACTTTCCCGGTAAACAAACACTCTCGGCCAAAGGCTTTCTGTTCCGTCCTTGATTTTGATTACGGGGTTTGGCTTGTTTATGGTTTTTGTTCCGTTTTGCATATTTGAGTTCAATTTGAGTAATTGATGAGAAATTTATGGTATTTTCTAATTGGTTTCGGTTAGTGTATGGATTCTAGGGAAGATGGATTGTATTTGTCTGAAAAAAGATGAGTTTTTTTTTTTTTTTTTTCGAGGGATCTAAAATTATTTATGTGTGAATTTTTTTGGGTTTAAATTGTTTTTAGTTTGGGGCTTTATCAATCATTTTTGCCTTGAAATTGCACTTAACTTTCAGGGAGAAAAAGTTAATCTTTACAATTGTTATCATTAATATTTTTAATCCTCTATTTTCTTGGTTTTATTTCCTAATAGCCATTGTTGAGTTTGTAATTCAAGTTAATAGAGAGCAGTGCAAGAGAAAATTGGATCTTGATTCAGAAGAAGTGTTTATTTACAGTGATTCTGAATCATGATTCAGAATCAGTGTTTGGTTTGAATGATTCTGAATCATGATTCAGAATCTGATATGATGTTTTAAACTAGCTCAATTTATGATTCTAAAATCACCTCTCTCTTTATTTAAGGTGATTCAAACCCTTAATTCTGAATCATGGTTTCAGAATCATGATTTGAACTCAAAATCATGAATTATGATTCTGATTTCAGAAACATGATTAAAATCACATTAGTTTGAATCCTCTTACCAAACGAACCCTAATTTAAAAAAAAAAAAAAAAAGTATTTAATGGGAAGAAGGAAAAGTACTGAAATTGGCATGGCAATCTTGTAAATAGATTGCAGAAAATATGGGTTGTTATTTGGTCAGATTAATTGATAAAAGTAGTGGGCACGTGTCAAGTAGAGACAGTGGCATCTGATTCAACATCTGATCAAGTGACTGTAGCGGCCTGGACTTAAGGGGGGCCTTAGGCAGCCTTGACTTAAGGGGGGGCCTTATAACGGCCTCACACCCTTGAGCCGGCATTGCTTTTAGAGTTTCTTTTCCTTAACCATTCAAATACATTTATCACCTTGACTTTCTGATTCTCTTCTGATTTATTTATTCATTTATTTATTTTATTTATTTTCATTATTTCCGCTTGTTGGGATTTTGAATACTATGGTTTCATATAGGATTTAGTTGACTTGTCTGATCGTATCTAATTGCAATGGCTGAGAGGAACAATGCTTTGTCCGTTGGGATTATTGCCAGGAAATCTTTGTTTTGGCTGCTTATTGTTAGACAATATAATAGAAAATACAAAGAAGAACAAGGAAATAAAGGAATAACAAAATAATGAAAATTGTTACAACCCGAAATCAACCTTTCTATGGAATTCGAAAACGGAATTGTATGAATGTCGAGGCACGTGAACCACGTTGTCCTTAAAACAGATTCGTCCCCTCCGGCGTGTGCTTGAGGTTACGTTGGACGTCCGTCTCCCAGGATACAACGACAACGACGGCAGCTCGATGCACTTTCGGAACCGTCCGGCGAACTAGAACTTGATCTTCCCTCTATCACCAAAACCGAACTACAAGAACTACTCAAGGAAATCCGGAACAAACCAAGAGAGAGAGAGAACCAAAAAGGAGAAGAGAATTGTGAGGAAGTGTGTGCCTATCATGTGGAGTTTTGGCCTTTATATAGGCTCCAAAATCTGGGTGTTACACCAAGACATTATGGTGTAATAACCCAGATTTATTCCCGGAATAATGGTGATTAAAACCAGCCAAAACGTTTTTTGATTTCCCATGGTGAATCTGGCCACATTCTGGCTAGTAATTCAGCTTTTGATGATGGAAAACCAAAGCCATGAAAGCTTGATTCGGTTTTGCCTCCATTGATCACCATTAAGGTCTTTAACCATCATTGTTTTATGCCAAACGGAAGCTGGAAGGTCTTGGCTAGAGCAAAAATAAAATTGCAAAAGTAAGCTCGCGCGGAGCGGGTTTTTCGGTCCGGCATTCGTGTCCGCAGGCGCACACATTAGCCCTAGCCAATGTGGGACTTTTGCAATTTTCCTTCTACATATGCCATTCCAAGTACCATACTTAGACCATCAATTTCTCATTCACCCAAAATCCATTTTGAGTGTATGAATACTTGATTTCGATCTCCTCGTGACGAAGAACGCAAATCCATCGAGACCCGTCTCAAAACCTATTGGGCCCCTTTCAAACATGGGCCTCAAAATGGGCCTTTAAAATGGCTTAATAAGCCATTTTTTTCCAACACTTATTATTGCATCAATCCTATTTATGTTATCTTGGTTCTTTGTGTTGCGTTCCACGGGTCGTCCCAAGTTTATAGACCATAGTTTGCTTCCCAATTCAAAGTTTCCATTTCTATTAGACAACTGGTATTTTGCATTGCATAGTCAAAATGATGTCCAGCCCAAAAACTGATCGGTCCTCGCGGATAAGGAAGAAGAAGAAGAAGAAGAAGAAGAAGACTCTTCTTTTGTCCAAGCTAACAAGCATGGCGTGACATGTCAGACCAATATCAACAATGTGGTCCTTAAGGCTTTCTTGTATGATTTGGCTCCTGAGTTTCATTTTGGGCTCTTGGGTTGGGAGCCACAAGGCAATAGTGTGTGGCCAGATCTTCAGACCAAAGTTCCTGATTATCCTGGTGGGTTGAATTTGCAACATAGTATAGAGTATTGGCTGACTTTGGATCTTCTTGCTTCGGAACTTCCAAACCCGCCAAACGCTCGATCTGTTATGCGAGTGCGGAATGCTAGTGAAGCCGACATCATATTTGTGCCATTCTTTTCCTCCTTGAGCTATAATCAGTTTTTGAAGAGGGATCCGAATCAAAAGAGGAGCAATAACAAGGTGCTTCTTGGTTAGGTACTTGACGGCTCAAAAGGAATGGAAGACGTCTGGAGGAAGAGACCACTTAATTGTGGCTCACCATCCCAATAGTATGTTGGATGCAAGGATGAAACTGTGGCCTGCAACATTTATACTTGCCGACTTTGGGAGGTATCCTCCCAATATCACGAATGTGGAGAAAGATGTGATCGCACCTTACAAACATTTGACCAAGACATTTGTGAATGACTCATCTGGTTTCGATAGCCGTCTGACTTTGCTCTACTTCCAAGGAGCAATGTACCGAAAGGATGTATGTACTCTTCATCTTCTATACATACTATCACTTACTTTTGTTAATTTTTTATCTTTCAATTATGAAACTAAAATCTTTATTTGTGCTACAAATTATGGGTTTGACATGTTTTCTGATTACTTATTGTATCAATCTAGAGATAGTGTTATCGTTTGATTTGTTTGTACATGAAGAATGTTATTATTGGAAGCATTAAAGGTGCATTATAATTCCATTAGGAACTACAGAATATACACAAATTCTAATCATATAGAGTCTACGGCTTACATAGATTCATGGACTCATCTATAGATTCATGGACTCATCTATAGATTCTTGTCTACAAAATCTTCTCTCCTATACCCTTGTACAGAGTCCATTTCTAAAATTAGATATTCAAACTTTAAAGCAACAAATAATTTATTACAGAAAAATGTGCAAATGTGTTAATCTTGGTCCGTACTTTCTTGTTTGTGCTGGTACTAATCTTTGTTATAACATTGAATACTACAACGTGATCTCTCATCTAAGACAGCTAGATTCAATTAGATTTCTGGTATTATGTAAAATGTGAAAGACTTTCTCCAATTTCGTAGAATATATTAATTAAATGGACTTCCAAGTTTGTGTTCAACAAGGTTTTGTATATGATTTGACTTAGGAAACCAGATTAAGCATCTTT